GAAAAGCTACCTAGAGAAGTCTTTACAATTATTTGCATTTTTAGAAATAAATATAATTTTTAATTAAAAATATTTTAAAATCAATTTTTAAAAAACAATTAAAACATAATAATGAGAACAACTGTATTCGTAACAGTTGGATATTAATTATTTTGTAAGTTTCGATATAATTATTTAATGTATAAAACATTTAAATATTAATTATTTTGTAAGTCTCGATGTAATTATTTAATGTATGGATAACTGTACAACTCATTGATTTGAGATTGGATAAGGGGGGTGACATATCATTTTATTTCTACTAATAAAAAAAGAGATACATTGTATTTTTTAATTTGTAAAAGTTTTAATTAAAATTAAAAATTCTATAGTTTTAAAAATATGATGGGTCATTAAATTGGTTAGGATACTAGATCAGTGGGTCAAAGGTTGAATCGGTAGGTCACTGATTGAATTACATGACCTAATTTTTATTAATTTTTTTTAAATATTCTTGTTAAATATATTTTATACTTATAAATTTCAATAAATTCATATTCTATTTTAAATTTTTATTTTTATTTTATTTAAAATTATCTTTATTTTTATTTTGTATAAAGAAATACATAAAAAAAATTATATGTAAATTGTATATTAATACAATATTAAAAATATAAATAATATGTGCATATATAATTTACTCGCAATTGATATCACAAAATAATATATGTAATATCTACATAGTATTATATTATTAAATATATAATTTAAAATTAATAATATACTATAAAAGTTATTTAAGTGCATATATTACAAACAAATACATTAGAACAAGTAATCATTGTTATGTTTAAAAAACTATTTGCTCTTTTATTAACAGGATTCAATTCTAATTGTTATTTTTGTAGTTTGTGGTCCCTTAAAAAAATAAAAAAAAATTTGTGATTGAATCGATTTGACTCATCGATTCACTAGTCGAATCAAAAATTTGACCGATTCAACCGATTTGACCGGCCGATCCAATCCAATTTTTAAAACACTAGTTTTTTCTTCTTCTTAACAATGAAGTAATATAATAGTTCATTAAAAAATGAAACAAGAAATAATTACACATTTTGTATCTCATTTATAATAAGTATACATATGAACAAATATATATTTACGATACAATTTAGTTGGATTATTAGTTTAAAAGTCATTTGAATTAAGTGAGAATATTAAGTACAACTAGACTTTATTTGATTTAAGTATATTATGAAATTCAGACGGAACCAAACAAAACGAATCTTTTACAATTTGATTTTATTCAATTTTTTTGGTTTTTAAAACATGTTATTTGAAAATTAGTTAAAAATATGTAATTTTTTTCCTCACATATATTGTTTTTGGTGTCTAAGCGAATAAGGGTTTTATTATCTAAATTTGAACTAACCCAAATTGACCCGATAATTTCAGATCAATTTTTTTTATATTTGGTTAGATGCAAGTCAATCAAAACTCGATATTATATGGATCACATTACAGTTTTTGTATTTTTAACTTGTGACCTACTATAAATATATAATAAAAATAAATAAAGATTAAAATAAGTAAATAATAATAATAATAATAATAATAGTAATAATAATTTAGTATTTGAATGATTATTTATTTAGAACAATAATCTTTGTCACTCTTGTTCAGTAATGAGTTTATATATACATATAAATATATTCCAATTTTTATTTCTATTATCATATTTAAATTATTCTAATTTTTTATATGAATTAACAAATTCATGATAATTAATAATTTTAACTAAAACCTCATTTTTAGTGGGCCGACCTAATTGCCTTTTCAAATTGCATCCTAATTATCAAGGATCAAACCCAATTAGTTTAGTATGTGACTTATTATTATTTTTTAATAGAGTTTGCTTTCGATAGATAAAAAAAAATGCATCCTAATTATAGTGTTATCAAAATTGAATAATGATCATTTTGATCAAGATATTGGGCTAGAAAGTCACTGGTTGAACAGTTGGTCACCAGTTGAAATCCATAAATCGATAAATTAGTTTTAAATTATTGATATAGTATAAAAATTATTTTTCTCATGCATTATAACCAGAAGCATGTTGGTGCAGTGGGTCATATATCTCGAAAAAATCCAAAGGAGTTGGTTTGACACTTATTTGGGACAAAAACTCTACCTTTTGAATGCTTCGTGAGCATTTGTTTGAAAGAAAAAAAAGAAGAAAAAAAAGCAAAATCAGGCCATAGTGAGCCACCGGGTTATCGACTTTCACCAATCCTATCCAACTCAAACAACATGTCCCCAATTAGTATCTCAGATTGATTATGTAACCAGTTTTTTGGTCGCCAACATTCTTGCTTCTGCTTCATCTACCATTGCTCACACGGGTCCTTCCCTCTAAGATGGCTACCAATTCATTTTTACATGTGATCCAAACTATTTCCCTCTTAACGATGAAGCTTATTTCCCATTGCCCCATTGGCCAACCTAAATGATTTTTATTGATAACACTACAAATCCCAGTTAGAATTGAGCCATGCACACAAAAATTGATGGTGTAATAAGTGAAATTGATGTGTGAACAAGTCAGAGACTCTATTTTGACATCACTGAACATGGGTTGTGTAACACCAAACGTGAATAAGGTAAAGAGTTTGACTCTGCCTTGGTAACATCAAACATGGATTACACAAAGACTCTTTATTACATTTTTATTAGGCACAAAAGAATTAGCGTTGGATATGAGTAATCCAGAGACTTTGACTCACTAATGCTAGATGAAGAATGAATGACATCGAATGTGATTATGATGAGTGAAAATTGTGAATAAGTTGTTTAATGTTGAAAACATGTTATTTAAGATGATTGTTTACATAATATATAATGATGAAATGAGCATCTTTTTTCATTGAACATTACTGCAAAGAGTTTTTTTTTTTTTTTTTAATCTTTGGTACATGTTTTTTTATTTTCCCAACAACATGAATCTGGATTTTTTTTTTACTTTGTTTGGTTTATTATTTTTCAAAAATGATTTTTCCTATATTTTTCACAAAAGTATTTTCACAATGGAGGAAGGAATCTAATTTTTTTGAGTTGAGAGAAATTTTTTACTGCAATAAAATAATATGTTACTTTTATTTGTTAATAAATAATTAAAACCTATGAGAAATTCTTAATAAACACAAGCTTGTACGCGCACACATGTTTTGACATAAAAATTTACACATGCACACATATTTTGACATAATTTTTTTTTCCCTCCGAAAGAAAAGACTAGGAGAAACAAAAGATTACAAAGGTCTAAAAGATTCTGAAAATAGAAAGGAGGTGATTCGAAGAGGAAAATAACGGGTTATTACTTACCAGCGCCATATTCATAATTGGACTTGGGACTTGGGAGGTATTAATGGAAAAGAAAGTACCCAAGAAAATATTATAGAAAAAGGGTCTAATTCTATACTTGATAATTACTCACTGGAAATACAACAAAAATACTGAAGCCCCAAGAATCTACTAAGGTGTGTGTATATATATATATATATATATATATATATAAAATGAAAA